AAATAAAGAAAATAAATCATGAAATACAATATGTTTGAGACATTTATTGAGTAATATTTTTTTAAATCAATCGGTATTCATAGAATATTTAAAAATATTAAAACATTAAAACATACATGGTCATTATTAATTTATATCAGTTGTTGATAGACTGAATTGTAAATTACTGAAAACTCCAAAAGTAGAAATATACGTCACTGTTTTTATATCCAACTCATTCATACATTTAGAATGTGTGAATTATTCACTTCCTCAATTTTGTCATCATCGTAAAGTCGTCAATCCTAAGACTGGCTGAACATGTACCCCTCTTTCCTATCCTGAGCTTGTCTTCGCATTTCCCTGAAACTAGAACAACCCATATCCTCAACTATTTGCGAACAGCAATCTAATGTAGATCTACCTCTACTCCTCCTAACTCCCGTTTCTGTCTTTAATATGTCTCTGACTAGACCTTTATGCCTGAGAAGGTGTCCTACCAACCTATCTCGACTATTTCTTATTGACTTCCATAGAGTCATCTGTTCTCCTATTCTTTCTAATACATGTTCATTTCTAACCTTCTCTACCCAAAAAAGGAAGACTAACCCCTAATTACCACAAAAAACTTTATTTGAGCGGACGCGAGTCTCGCGTTGATAATGCCCACGTATGAAGTGGGCGAAGCACGTGTCCGCTCAAATAAAGTTTTTGTGGTAATTAGGGGTGAGTCTTCCTTTTAATTTTAAATTAATATTTACCACAGTCTCTTCTTTCTACTTTCTCTACCCACGGTATCTTCATCATTCGCCTGTAACACCACAGTTCGAACGCTTCTAAATTTTCTAGTTTCCCTACTTGCCTCATTGTCCTAACATTCCACACTCCGACTCGTGAAATATTGCACCTATCCCATTGCACTTATTGATATTTCCCAAGGCAGTCCCCACCCAGACATCTTTACTTCAGAGGACGGCATCATTTCATCTGTGTGATACGTTGGACTCGGAAACACGATGTGGTGGTTTCCCGTTGACTTCCACATGGCAGTATTGGGCATCAGAGTACTTACTTACTAACCCTACATACCTACTTATTATCTCATTAAATTACCCAGGGCCTCAATACGCATCTGATAGCCATAACAGAATTTGGACTAACTGCGATCTAGCTATAAATTTTCGTACTTCGAAAATCAAATATCTTTGCATTTGTATGTCGACAGATAGAAGAAGACACAATCCCATAATCTCAAGCTCTTAATCACTTGATCACTTGATAACATTATAGGTAGGTACTCTAGAATTATGATTAAATTGATTAGCGGACGACATCATACACTAAAGCTCTTAACAACTCTATCACCTGGAATTTATTTTAAAAAATACGAAACAGGTGGGAGCGTAAGCAAAATATTCCCAAAAGTTCCTTTTGACCTGTGTTCGCGAGAGGGTCGACGGAAGAGCATGACAACAGCCACTACGAAATTCTGTATTTCAAATCCATAAATTGCAAGCGAAGTACCTGCGTACCAGATTAGGTTTTATGTAAATTCAATACCGAAATATTATTTTCCGCAAATCAAATTAAATTTTTACATAGAATAATGACCCGGACGTAATTTGCCTCGTGCGTCAGTGCTTAGTCTTCAACTCTTTCGCTTTATAATTTCGTCATTCTTTTATGACGGAAAGCGGGTCGATAAATTGCAAAACAATACGATTCGGAGTTAAAATTGCGATAGCCGCCATCCCAGCATTCATGTTAAGTAGTAAGCCAATTTGGCTATCAAATATCTTTTTTAAAAATTATCATCTAACGTCGTACTACAAACAAACTCACGTAACAAAACCCAAACGAACACAGTTCGTAGCATTGTTAGACACAACTCATCGACATTATTCAATCATCGAATATTTATCCTTTACGTGCTTAGTTAAGTCAGATAAGTTTAGACTGAAGGGATAGCAGGGATATAGCGCAGGGTCAAGTCGCCTTCAATAAAAAGAAGTCACTTCTATGCTCGCAAACGATTAATTTAGAAATTCGAAAAAGATTGTTAAAAGTGTATATTTTGAGAGCGGCGCTTTACGGGTGCGAAACATAGACAGTGGGTGCGGGGTATACAAAAGTTTAGAAGCGTTCGAAATGTGGTGTTATAAGCGAATGATGAGGATACCGTGGATAAAGAAGGTTAGAAATGAAGAGATTTTATAAAGAATAGGAGAATAGAAGACTATAGAAGTCAATAAAAAATAGGCTACATAGGTTGGTAGGACACCTTCTCAGGCATGAAGGTCTAGTCAAAGACATATTAAAGGCAGAAATGGAAGTTAGGAGGGGTAGAGATAGACCTAGATTAGATTACTGTTCGCAAATAGTTAAGGATGTGGGTTGTTCTAGTTTTTGGAAAATGCGAAGATTAGCTCAAGTCAGGAAAGTTAGGAAATGTGGAGGTGTGTGTCCAACCAGTCTTAGCACTGACAACCTTATGATGATGATAGGATAGAAGGAATGTCGTGAATAAAAAAGGTTGGAAATGAAGAGATGTTAGAGAAGTAAAAAGAGAAAGGTGCTACTGTTGTTAAAAAGGAAAAGTAGATTGGATATAGGGCACCTTCTTAGACAAAAGCTAGAATGGGATGTGGGTTGTTCTAGTTCTAGGGAAATGCAAAGTTTAGCTCAGGATAGGAAAGAATGGTGATGCGTGTTCAACCAGTCTTAGGATTGACGACCCTATTGATGATGTGTATAATTACATTTATTTGTAACCTAGTAAATGAAACTTAGCAACATTTAACTGTCCACCACGGTCCTCAGATATTTATTATTCATGAGATAAATCCCATGTAAGCGACCCAAACAGTATTTTTAATACTGAAATATGTTATATATACTTACCTATATAACCTATAAATCCACAGATAATATTTTTAATAGTTTAACAGAAAAGCTGAATTTTTATTTATTTATCCTTTTCCGTAGAGATACGTATACAATGGCGAATGCTTTAAGAGTGGTGGCCCGATATTCTTAACTCTTGGAGGCGAATGGACCATATCAACCGTAGATCTAATGGCGGGAACATTTTACGACATAGCATGCGAAAATGGCGGATATATGTTTAATACTGAACACAGATATTATGGAGAAAGTCAGCCAACCAGGTATGTGGCATTACAAAAATTAAAAAAAATACAACGTGCAATTATACAACACGCTACTGAAGTGAAACTTCGTCCAACACACAAACATACCGGAATAGGGGTTAAGGAATTAGTTTAATGGTATTATTTGTACACTATGAATTTAAATTTTACACTATACATGCCGCAGTTGCCTGTAACGAACGTTGGATTGAAGCGTGCTCATGGCTCAAGGGATCTCCACTACGAACTCGACTACGTGGTCGAGTAGAGGGGGGATATCCGTTACATGATTTCGTTACATAGCAACTCGCATGAAACGAACTTACCCTACCGTAAAGAAGTTTCACTTCAAAAAGTGCTTATTGTACAAAGTTATTGATTGCTCAATTTGTGAAAATCTAGATATCCAATTACAGTACAACCTGGATAATCCGAACTAATTATTGCAAAAGATTGTTTGAATTATCAAAGAGCAATTGTCTGCTATATTCGGCACGGACATTTATATTATAGCCACTCTCTGTAGTAAGATGTGACTAACAAAGTTGTGGTTCTGAGAAGAACCGATTTAGTAATATCGTTGGACACATTATCTGCATCATTGATGATTCCAAGGGTTGACACTTTATCAGCATCCGAATAATAGTGAGCCTGGTGTTAGACTAATTTTATTTCAATATTTACAGAGTATTTATACTAAATTATTTACATGGTATTATACGGTAAGGAACATTTCAGCATATTACATTTGTGTGTGTATTTGCCGTTGACCTAGTTAGTCGCAGTGTGTCGCGACCTAACTAAGTCAGCACAAATGTAGACGCTTAATTGATACACACAATAAATGTTTTTCGCTATACCGAGTGTTCCCACAG